ATATATAATTCTGCACTCAGTTGCCAGTTTATAAGATATGCCCAGCTACAGCGAATGCAGTTTGACACAGCTGTTGTGTAAAAAATTCTGTTTATGAAGGTTCAGTTTTTGTTGAAACAGTTTCGGTATGATCATTTTGTAGATTGCAGTGCTGTTTAACTATATCTGAAATGTACAATACTGTACAATACATATTAATGCCATTTATTTATATATAAGCAAAAATAGCTCAATATAATATATGAATATTGTAAGACTGAATTGAGAATTCTGCAATGTATGCAATTTGCAGTAACATATAGGTCAAAACCAAGTATATTGCTGGACTGTGTATGTAACCGTGGCTTTTCATTTGAAAGAGGAAGTGGCAGTATTCACTCAGTCATGGGCTTTCCCTAACAGCACTGGCCCTGCTGTTACAATTAAGCCAAAAAAATTAATATAAATACACAGAAATGTACTCACACCAGAAGGGACCTGCTTTCTGTGGAGCTGTACCCACTGGTCAAGCTCATTTTTGCTCTATTTAACACAATCATCACCTCTTCAGCTCCAGCGGGTGGCATGAGGGCTGATTTATAGTTGCATGTAGGTTCTACGCAGAGTCTACACCATAGCCTGTCTCTGCGTCGCTCTACAATTACACATCCAAAACCCTAGTTATCAGTGGGGTTTCTATGCCACTGTGTTGGGTTTCTGTGAAGTGCACTTAAGTAAACTAACACACCTAAAGCCCAAAACATTGTTTAACTGCAACAAGAAGAAGTAGAAATAGAATAGAATAGAAGTACAAATTTTGGCTCCATTATAACTCATAAGGTTCACTGACAAAATTGTCTTTTGCCCCACAAATCCAATATGCTAACATTATTAGCATAAGCCGATGACATTTTATATTGCAGAATTTCCCCTCAGGGAAATATAAAAAAAAAATAATAATTAGCCCAGCAGCTAGTGGCGCATGACACGTTTCCTGCCATAAAGCAGATTTTTTTTCCGCGAAATTCCGGCACCGGTGGCAGAAGCTTATTGCAAAGATTGCAAAGCCACTAAGTAACCTATGTAAACGCTGATAGTCTGATTTTACTGTGGCCACTACCCTGTGCAACCCACATTATTTTCATAATGATATATTTAGGAAAATATGCTATCTGTTGCCTCTTTAACAAACAGAATTCAGCTCCATTATAACTCACAAGGTTCACTGATGAAACAGCTGTCTTTTGCTAGACACATTTCCCTAAAAATCCAACATGCTAACGTTATTAGCATAAGCTTATGACATTTTATATTCCATAAATTAGCCTAGTGGCTAGCAGACTTTACCTCCAGTACTGATATGAAGCCAGGATAAATCACACACAAGACTTCAAATGCAACTGTATGGGGGCATTGTTGTCTTCACATTTTATGATTTCTTATCTGTGAAATAAAAGTAAATGAAAGCTTTGTTTCCAGCTTACAAAATATACAGGAGGTGTGTGTCGCAGCAATGTATACTTACCATAGTACTTAAATTTCTGCAGGGGTGCACATCAGTCCCTGCGTGACTCGTGGAGGCTGGGCAGCCATCAGCCATTATCGTAGTGTGCAATAAATTCAGAATAAAGGAACAACTGTAAACAAAAAGCCCTCCTGAGAACGTAATACAAGACTGTCAGTGCCCACATGCTTCAGCACCTATTAATTTCAAACAGAGCAACAGCCAATGCGGGAACACCAACAGACATGTCCTCACTCACGCCGACCAATGGTATAGCTTCATCACTCAATCACAGACAGACTTTTGCATTTATAGGGCTGGCTTTACATTCTGTGGTCCAGCCAAGAAAAGTATCAAAAAATTAGCCGCACTGCAGACTTCAAGTCAGGATATCTCAGCCTCTGCTTTTTTATGATCTGTCTCTCACAAGTCCACAACTCTGTGGAAGTGCAGCACTTAATCATAGAATATTCCATAAAAAATCATTATGAGTAAGTTGCAGCCTTATTATTTATTTATTTATTGTTGTATTGTTTATGCAGTTTTTCTTCATATTGCATCACTTTATATTTTGTCCAGCGACTCTAAATAAGTGAGTTCATAGTCCACAGGTACAAGAGCTAGACAGCAACATCTTAGCATTTAACTACCTTCTGTCTGTCTGTGTTTTTCTGCTTCAGTAAGCATCATATTTTAGTTCAACCCTTCTCTAAAGCTGATCGAAGTTCGCTCTGAAGTTTTAGCTTTTAAATTTTTCCTGATTCTGCATCCTCGCTAACTGTTAGATCGCAGAGAGAATCATGTCACTCCTAGTGCAGGTCTGTGGTGAGGCTGTGACGCAGCAGAGCCATCGGCTGTTCACTTCCTGTTGATCAGCGGAGCAGAGGCACTGCGCGATCACTTCGACAACTCAGAGTCAGAAACGCCTGACCTCCGTCACATCCTGAACCTTCAACATGACGGAGATCAGCGGTTCAGAGCTGAGGCTCAGCTTTCTTTCAGTTTGCTTTGTAATGTGACTCATCAGTTCCAGTAAGGAAACCAGTCAGCATGTCTACTTACTGGAAGAGCAGCAACACCCTGCTGAGGCCTCTGATGGCTCCGTCTTTACAGACTCGTGTTTTTTTTATTAGGAACTTTATTCAGACAGACATTTTTTTTTTCAGTTGTGATGCAGTGATGCATATGACATCAGCAGCCATAAAAAACATAGAATATTTCACTCGGTGTCAGCACCATATAGCTTCAGTAATGAGCATGATGAATGATGAATCATGATGAAACACAGTATTCTATAAGGTGCTGTGACACACACACACACACACACACACAGTCTCTGATCTTTGCGTCGTTGCTGCTGACCTACATGTCAGACACAGCTGAAGGACTGTGTGTCTGCTCTTGTACCTCTATCTTTGTGAGGACCAATTACAGACAGTGAGGACATGTTGTCTGTCCCTCACTTCTTCACAGGGCTGTCTGAGGGTTAGGGCTGGGTTTTAGGGTTTAGGTGTTTTAGTGCAGAGGAAGTGTTCCTGCTGGTGTCAGATGTTATGTCATAGCTGACTAATTCAGCTGTTCTCAATACACAATATGCTAAGTGTGAATCATGCGAGTTGGCAGGTGGAGCAGTAACGTCATGGAGTCTTCCTTGGATACCTGACAACTGCTCAGAGCCAAAAATGTAGTGATTTTGCACTTGGGTTTTTGTATGATTAAACAAATTAGACATAACGTGTCAGTCAGTCAGCTTTAGAGGTGCTGCTCGACAAATTTTGTTTTGTTGTACAGAGCCAGGCTAGCTGTTTCCCCTTGCTTCTTATCTTAATGCTGATTTAAGCAAATCAACTGCTAACAGCTCATATCAGCTGGAATGTCATTCTGCAAGTAACTTTATGACAGTCCAAAATCAAACTTGTCTGTCATCAGGTTTGTGTGCCCTCTGTAAGCCAGCATCTATACTTGACCAAAGATCATTTAGAATGTAGGAACTTAAACAAAAGGAACAAAATTTCATATCTCACTATTTTTAGGCTGCATGGTGATACACAATATGTATCTCTGTATCTTCTATGAAATGGGCTACATGTTTAGTTGCAAGTCAAAGCCAGCTGCAACTGAAACAATAAAAAATTTTTGGGGGGGGAGTGAAATAGTCATTTTCCATGACCATTCAAATAAATCTAGTGCCGAGGGAGGGAAGAAGCGAGACATGTCTTGTATATAAAATGTTTGTGTTATCACTGCATATTTTTAACACCTCTGTCGCCTGCATCCAGGCACTGTCTCAGTGTCACACATTAGACTACGATTACCAAGAAGAATGGCGATGTGCTATGATCCACCTCACACACAAACTAGAAGTGCAATTGCACGTGTGCTACTGTGGTAATTCATTCATCTCACAGACTGGTTTAGCGCAACACGTGCAACCTATGGAGCGATGTCACACTGTATACTAATGAACTGACAGATTAAACAGAGGAGCAGCTCTGTATTGCTCTTAGTGTTGCTGGAGAACTTGTGAGTGAGTGAGTGGGGCGGAGCTGTGCGAGATGCACACTGGCATGGCTTTTTGAAAGAACAGTGTTATGTAACACAACTTGACCCTATATGGATATAAACAGTGTTGTCTAAATCTGTATCTTGCTTGAAAATATATCGATATATTGTACATAGTTGTTTTGCCCACTGTACAATCACCAGAAGGCTTTGGCGGCCTCTTCTTTTTCTGTGCCCTCCTGATATTTTACCAGGGTATGATGGTATTTGTGTAAAAAAAAAAAAAAAAAAACAAACCTCAAAAGCTGAGTTACTGGTGATGGAAGTCATTGTAGCATATAATTCATTGTCTAGCCTTGCTGGAGGACCTGATGACACTTGTTGCTGCAGCAGATACCGAAATATCAGTGGGCTGAATGTTGATGTGTTGAATTCAATCATGTAGCTAAAAGCTAGCCTTTGTAGTTCGGAGGGTTACCTCAAAAGAAAATGATATGTGGCAGTACTCCCAAACAGGAGCAGAGGAATGTTTCTTTTTAACTAATCCTGCACATGGACGTTAAACACAACTGGATAAAGCACTGGGGGTGGGGCCTTGTTCATTCTTATGAAAGTTGCTAACTGATGCATGAAGCCAAAAAACATGAACTGCTCATGTATAGTATTACCTGAATGATTGGCACTGCTTCTGCACTGTGTGGCCCATAGAACAGGTGCACTCAAGACTTCCACTGACTGCGCTGGCTACTTCCTATTTAATGCTCTGCTAACTTAAATGGCGATTGAATGACTCCGGATTCCAGCATCTCCATATCACTTTAACAGATAGAGGAGCATCTGTATTTTTGACAGTATTAAAAATCGTACCTTCTGGATTTCAAAATACCTTGATATACCGTAACATCTTGAGACCACCCAAACCTCATTATCAGCAGACTGAGGGCTCTAGTTTCGCAGACCGGGCGAAGCGGGGGGCGCAGCGCACCTGCGCTTCGCCAACTGGGTGTGGCCAGGCGGATTTTGCAAGTTTGGCACACCGTGCGTCTGGGACAGCTACTACTCTTTCCCGCCTTCATCCCTCCTGCCTGCACAAGTTGGAAAGAGGGAGGAGAGAAGGCGTGGAGTGGGTTTTACACACATCACACCAATCAAATGAGCCCCTCTCCTCGCCCTTAAATGCGCCGCGCGAAGGCGTAATGAGAGTTTACTCAATTCGCCATGGCAGAAGAGAGCAGCAGCGTCACATGGTCAAACTCCTCCCAGGAGGAAACTGATGTTTTGGTCCGGGAGGTCCAAGCTCGCAGTGTCCGAATATACGGAACTGCAAGCAGACCTCCATGGGCTGATGATGCAAAGGTAGCCTGGGAGGAGGTCACCACAATTGTAAGTCAATGTTGCGTTTCTCTCGTGCGCATGCGCTCTCTCTTTCTCTCTCGCAGTCTCACTCTGTTTCTTTTCTTTTGACTTTTCTAAGATGACAGATGCTGAATATATACTCCCTATCTGATGCTGTGGCTGTTTGTGGTTGGCTGAGAGGGATGTGAACTCATTAGTTTGCAGCTGTGTTAATCAAATCAGGTTGGGTTTCCGTTTCCATTAAGCGTGCCAAACGGTGCCAATCCCCTTTGATCTGACATCAGATGTGACGGGACAGTCGATACAGAGAGATATTTATGTGCTGATTGCAGATAGTTGCATTGAATAGTGTTTTTTGGGTATTTATTGCATTGTTAATGTGCCTGATATTCTGGAAACCTGCCTGTGAGGTTTCGGTGACGTGTGCGCACTGTCCGCTGGTCAGCCAAACTTCGGCCTACACCGGCTGCGCTCCGCCTGCGCTGACAGTAGACCTGGTGTAAGCTGGCGAGCTTTTTGCGCACCTTCGACGAAGCCTTTTGGCACGAAATTGTCACTGCGCCAAGCTGAACGTGTCAACACCTCCCCCTGCTGTGCCACTACAACCATCTCAGCGCACCTCGGTCTGCCAAACTACCAAACTGAGCGTGCCTCAGGTTGAGCTGCTCGAAACTAGCTCTGCGCGGGGTTCGCCACCCTGCGCCACCCTGCGCTACGCGGGGAAACTAGAGCCCTGAGTGTTTTTGTAGCTCTAGCAACTGAGTGTCAGGTCCTCTCTCTAGGTGATTGCTTCACGTCAGTTTCAGGAGATGCATTCTCTAGTTGAACCTTAATTCATATCATATTAATAATCTAAACTACCCAGTTTAATAGTTTAGAACCAGGAACTAAATATTTGGATGAAGTCGCTCATGAAAATAAGGTAGGCCAGTCAGTAGGTCACACATCTAATTTCAGTGTGCCACATACAGAAGTATTTAATCAACAATTTAATTGTCTTCTGCTGGGATTTTAATAAATATCTGTTTAGACTTGTATTGGCACATACCCAATGTTAAAAGACTTGGATTGGGGCCAAGAAAAAAACAACATCCCTAATTTAAGTGCTACAAAAACAGCAGAGCCATCAGTTAATTACCACCAGGGACGCTGACCAGCAGATCCTGTCTGGCTAGGGGTCCTGACACCTATGAACAAGTCAGAACAAATGATCAAGTTCGAAATGATAAATCAACAGCATATTTTAAAGTAAATGATTGAATTAAAATGTCTGAAATAGATCTCAAATCAGAATTTGAACTTAACAGTAGTATTACTGAAATAATAACAATAAAGACTCTTGCCAACATCCCCTGTCACTGGTCTATGCGCAATGCATGCTTGTCTACCCCAAGTCATCACAAGTTAGCTCACAAAAAATCCCCAATAAAATGCATTGCGCAAGAACACGTCTGGGCCCTTGGATAGTACTTGACTAAATGCGAACACAAGCACAAACAAGAACACCGGTTAAGAAAAGCCTTGCGTCTCAAACTGCGTTCAGGTCCTGTGGGTGGGAGGCGTTTCCATGGTTGCACCATCAGTCGACTGAAGATGGCAGCTGACAGTGTTAATAATGAGGAGTGTAATTATCAGAGTGGATGAAGAGTTTATCCAGTGACAGAGTTAAAAATTAACTTTGATGATCCAAATGTTTGAGGATAAAATGAGACTTTAGGTAAGGTGTTTTGAATGATGGACAGATATGAGGCAACATGTGTGTTCTGTGGACTGCTGTATTGTCTTGTAGTTTTTCCTGACAATTGAATGTCTGCAAATTATATCTTTTGGATATCTAAAATTAAGATAATGATATCTTTAATCACAATATCTTTATCTGTCTGATTCTCCTTCTTTCCTTCAGTCCTTCAGGGAAGAAGTTCAGGAGTAAGCCTCAGTTGTCCCGTTACCTTGGAAACACAGTGGATCTGGGATGTTTCGACTTCCGGACAGGGAAGATGATGCCTGGAAAAATGCAGAAGAACAAACAAAGATTCCGACATGACCCGTTCAGCTTGGCCAAGGTAACACTGATGGTCCAGGGCTGTGGCTGTGCTGTGGTTGTGTTGTTATTAGATTATCAGATTAACACAGCTCTTCCTGCAACAGGTCAACAGTTCAGCAGGTCACTTGACAAACACTTAACCCTCTCACTCACTATCTTTTGAGTGTTTTTGACAGGGACTTGTCTCAGTCAGTTTGGGTGTTTTGACCAGGCCTTTCTCTGTCTCATCTGTGTTATGTTCACAGACTTCTGTCTGGGACATCTCAGGCTTGTTGGTTTTCACTCTGACTTGTCTTATTTTCACTGATGCTTTGATTCAGACTTGTCTTCTAGGTGTTTTGACTTTAAAGCTATAGTGCGTAACTTCTGTCGCCTCCCAGCGGATAATGTGTTAGTACAACTAATAAGCTGGCGGCACTTCCATGTACACAAAGTAACACTCGCCACACACCGTGTACACAGAGTAACACTTGCCAGTTGCCACACACCGTACACAGAGTAACACTTGCCAGTCGCCACACACCGTACACAGAGTAACACTTGCCTTTGTGGTAGGATCCACTTCTGAACCGTGTCTTGGCCGCTTCTCCACCAAGTTGCTTTCTCTTTCTACCTGCGCTCTACCTCTTGCTGTGACACTCTCCGCTCTTCCTCCCCCTCCCTTCTTGTTGTGAGGAAGCATTTCCTGTGTGTCAGCGTGGGAATGTCGCCAGTGGACACACATACTAAAAATGATATATATTGAAAAATACCGTGAGATGTTAGAGGAACCGATCGGCTTAATCAGCATTGTGTCATCTCCTCTAGTAGTGGCTTGGGTGAAACGGACATTTACGGACCTGTAGAAGTTACGCACTATAGCTTTAACTTGTCTCAAGATTGTAGACATTTGAATCCAAATAACTCAATCTTTTGGACATTTGAATCCAACATGCCCTGTGGGTGTTTTGACACAGACATGTCTCTGTCATTTCAGTGTTTTGACTCAGACGTTTTTGGTTCTTCTCAGTGCCTTGACTTGGAATGTTTCAATGTCATGGACATTTGACTCTTGTTCTCCGCGTATTTTGACTGCTTTATGTAACATTATAGGTTACCCAATGTAGAGATGTAGAGAAAATTAATGAGAGTATCTGTAAAGCATACAATCTTCTGCCTGCCTACATATAAATATTGACCTTTTTCTGTGGTGTTGGCATTTCAAATCTGATGCCTGCAATGCACATCAAGCATGCGTGTCTAATGAGGTGCATCAACTATCACTTTAAGTGCGTTTGGGCCTTCAGACTTGTCTTGTGGGGATTTTTTTTATCTCAGTCTCATAGGTGTTTTGACACCTGTGGGTGTTTTGGCTTTTCTCAGTCTCCTGGCTGTTTCACTCAGACATGTCTTGGTCTCATCTTGGACATGACTTCAGTGGCCTGGTGGATTAGTTGTTTGTCCACACCTCTTTAATTGGCTGCATCACATCTAGCATTTTCAGCTGCATTTTCCTGACATCTAAGAACAAACCTCACAACAAGCAGAGTGCACTCATCAACATCATGGAATCCATCATTTTAAATTGGAATGATCATACAACCTTTGGTCAGCTCACACACTCTCCACACACACACACACACACACACACACACACACACACAAGGCCATACGTGACACAGGGGGGATAAATCCTCCTCCAATATTAACTGATTCTAACAAAGCCCCAAAGTGTTAGTACTGTAGCTCTTATTTAGAACTACTTGACAGCCAATCAGAAACAAGGATTTTCCACAGCTGTGCGTGCTGGCATGCCTCTATGCACGTATGCATGTCTGTGTGTTGTGTTGTGTTTGTGTGGTGCAGTCTTTGTACCAAAGATAACAGCAGCACTGACTCCTCCCAAACAGCAGAGTGTATAGAAAGAAACTTCTGTGTTCCTTTTTAAGTGAACAAACACACACACACACAAAATTCAGGAGTGAAGTTGAGGTATGAGGAAGGAAGGTCTGACCATCAGGTACAGTTTTCTGTTTATAGACTCTCATGTGACCTTCATGACCTGAAGTAACCTGGAATACCAGTGGAAAGTCCTGCTCATGTCCCGTAGAGGCTGCAGTGTTCATTACAACCACAACATGAAAGTGACAGCAGTAGAGCTATAGATGTAAAGCTTGTTCTGATGATGGCGCTAGAGGAAAGGTCATGGGATTGTTAACATCCCCATCCTCTGGGGAGCAGGAAGACGATCAGAGCTCGGATGTACCAGTCATCTCAGAGCAAGAAATCAGTCCTTGCAGGCCAAAATGTTTCAGAGTGATGCTTTTAGAAGTAAGCACATTTTATGAACTTTGATAACCTGTGAAATGGTTGTCAAAGTTTTCTGGAGGTTTTCTGGTTTTCTCCAGGAGATGAAGGTCAGAACGAGAGTGTAGGAGGAGAAATGAGAAATGAGCCCTTTAAAAAGTTAAATATGGACTTATTATTGAGGCCACTGAGTTGTTTGTCGATGTTTACTTATTGTTTATTGTTTACTAGGCCTGTAGCTTTTGCACACACCTTATGAAATATTATTTTGAGATCCAGGGGTCGTGTAGACCAAAGCGTTTTTCCCTGAGGCCAGCAGATTTTTCGAATTCTTTGCAATGGGAGCACTGTGTATTTACAATATACTACAAACAGGAGCAGCGTGACGAGGCACTGAGCACCTATTCTCTGCTGAGCGCAGGACGTTTGGCATTTTGAGTTGAAAAAGGTTCAAGTTTGGGTAAAATGCTGTGCTTGTCATTGTCACTTTTTACCCAACTCTTCAATCACAGTGGAGGATGGGAGGGACAAAAACACAAAGACCAACTGTCACATCTTATAGGTACAATTGTTGAACAGCAACAACACCAGTGGAGGAGAAATAATTATATTTATTAAGATATGTTTCCTTTCATGAGCCCACATAGACCGGTGAGCCTGTCCTCTCTCCCTACGTGCTTCAGCCTTCCCTTCATTCTTTTACTTCTTTTACACTCCCAGCTGGGCTTTTACCAAGGAGCGCCTGGCGTTTCAGCCGGAAAAAAAAAATGCTTTGGTGGACACGACCTCTTAAGCCTAGTTCAGACCAATGAGTTGTGTTGACATGTAACAATTTTAGAATGTTGCAGAGAAAAGTTGCAGTGGTGTTAACTGGCTGGTCTGAGCACACCTCAAGCCAGCTGATGGTGTCACCGGCAACTCAGTTGGTCAAATCGCTGGCAGCCGGTTTTAGAATGTAAGGCTGGTCACCTGTGCCAGCTTCCAATCGGCTTGTAGTGGAGTCTGCTGGTCAGGTCAAAATGACCGCAGATGGCATGTTCCTTTGCTGCAGCATTCCCACCAAGCTTTTTGTTTCTGTCCTCACGGTGTGCCAGTGTCAGATGGTGGGTTGCTGCTGCTGCTCGCTGTATGTGCTCAGGTTTTTAGGACGTTGTATAACGGCACACTGTAAATAGTTGCCTGTTACAACTCGTATCATTGTGTTATTGGTCTGAACTGGGCTTTAATGTATGACGACAAAACTTCTCAGATAAAGATGAACGCAAGCGTTATTTTCACTAATAAATTGATGAATGACTACTTTCAGATTGCAGTGCTTTTTGTAGTTTTTTTGTGTTTTAGCAGACTGTAAGTACTATGTTCTTTGGTATGTTTCTTGTTTGCTGTAGCTGTCTCACTTGTCTTGTATGTCCGTGGAATGTGTTTTATGGATTTAGCAGTGGTGGAAGCCAAATCCAAATTACCTGCAGTGTGGGGCAATGAAGTGAATCTTGGAGAAAAGAAATGACACATTCTTATAGTGTTGCACGGTATACCGGTACTAAAATAGTACCGCGGTACTAGAGTATTCCAAACGGTACTATACTGCATTTGGCAAATACCGGTACTTTTTAAATTGATTCAATTCATTAATTTATTTAATTCATTTATGCACACAAACGTCTTCCTTGTTCCTATTGGAGCACATATTGCGCAAGTGGTGTGTATGACAACACCTGTATCAACATTTGCAGCTGGTGCACGTGAAAAAAGACAAGACAAAGTCTGCCTCGCAAAGGGAGACAACACAAGACAACACAAACTTGGTGAAACATTTGAGCAGCCAAACTGTGACGTCCGTATCGAGATACTTACCGAACCATGATTTTTTGGTACCGTTACACCTCTACTATTTATTGTTCTAAAGGTTTGTATCCAAAAGGACTTTTCCTTAGGAAAAGTACCGAAGAGTATTGAAAAGTATCGAAAAGTATCGGTACCGAAACAAAGATTTTGGTATCGTGACAACACTATATTCTTACTAAAAGTTTAACATTGGATTCTTCTTTGCCTTTGGACTCATTTGTGGTTGGCAAACCAGCTTACAGGTTCCTGTTAGGTTGAATTCATGAGCAATAAAACACACCAATGCTCAGTTTAGCACACTCAGGGGTTTAGCTGCTGCATCCGTACTTGGTCTGCTATGACCAGTGGCTTATGGTGGCTAATGTCAACAAATGTCACTGATGAAGTCCCAAACATATAGCTGAAAGCTTAAAAAAAGATAGTAAGTGGGCCTTAACTAAAGTTTAATTTGTCACACATACCCTATGTCAAGAATAAACTTCCATCCTCATATGTTGTTCACTTACTTGATGACTATGTGCCCATCTGTTGGCCATGTCACAGTTTTTCATACAAACATTAAGCAAGAAGAAAGCACTCTAGGAGACATGTGTGCTGTTAGCTGCTTGTTATTACATTCCACTCAAGTCAGGCTGCCCTGTGATGATGTCTTCAAAGCAGCTGGTTCAGAAGAATCTTGGAAAATGAGAATAAATTCAAACACTGTGCTCAAAATCAATCACAGTTTATTATATAGTGCACTAATCACCTTCCAGCATTATATGTGCAGTTTGAGTGTCAGACTTCTGAATCCTGGAAAAAAGGTGTTCATGGCATGTACGCTACCCACAGTATAAAGTGCCATATTTTGTACAGTGACTGCTGTTCAGACTTACTTTCAGCTGTTTCTTTTTTTTTGCATTGTATTTTTGCATATATAACCTTGATCAGCAGTTCCCAAACTTTTTAGGCCACGCACAGCCTTCTACAGTCCAACCAGGTTGAAGCACTCTAAAGTTGAGTTGATTTCTGGTTTTGCTGGGCTGCTCTGGTTTACGAGCTTAAACCGGTTTTATTGTAACAAACCAACTGAACGGGCATTTGTCATAATGACACGTTTTGGCAAATTAAAAGTAGCATACATCAGCAACCAGTGCCAATGGTGTCATGGTGCTAAATCCAACTTGTGTAAGTAATAAGCAATTTGACAATGTGATTAACATAATATTATGTTTATACACTGACTGACTGGAGCAGCTAGTGTTTGACAGGTCATGTGTAATGTACTCCTGAGGCCAGGCAACATGATGGAGATCAATTTCAGTTGAGGGTGGGAGATGTGCTTGCCAGGCTTTTTGGGGTGACGGACGAGACGAGACGAGACGGCTTTCTCATTTCCCTTTTAAAAAACGTACAAACACGGAATGGGTAGCCATTGTTGTTAAGCTGGTAGTGGAGGTAGTAGCAGAGCCAGTTCTCAGTATGTTCCACTCAGGACTGGCTACTGAGTGAAGTGCAACAAATTCGGTACACTGCTTTGTCCTGAGGTTTGGCTTTATATCAAACTGGTAGAAAATTTTAACACCTGCCCAACACTTACACACCTCCAATCTCTCACACTTTCAAAAAAAATCTCGGTTTGCCTATTTATAGCCACATTAAAGTCATCAAGTTTAGTTAATGAGAGCACACGTTTACCATTGCTGCTACAGCTTCCAGACCATGGTCAGAAGGCACAGAGAAGACTTTGTTTTGCCTCTAGGACCTAAGTTGATGCTCATTCCAGGGCTAACTTGCTTCACTTTACCTAGGAGCTGGGAAGCAAAACAGGGAAACTTTACTTGGGTGTTGACGAGCTGCAGTGTTTATTCATAGGCAAACTGAAACCTACACTGTACATTTACTACCACTCAAAACCGTTACCGTTACCACTAATTTCCTCTCTGCTCCAATCACCAACAGCTTTTTGCTATGAGCGCATCCACTGTCACGCTCTAAGGTATTCCATAAATAAGCTATACCACTCATATAACACATGTATCAAAATATTCAAGAGATTCCAACAATGCGCTCTCGAGATTCAAATAAAACTGAAACTACACTGAAGAAAAGTTTTATTAAATTGCAACACATAATTGCAAAACAGAGAAGAGGGTGGGTGACACACTGCAACTGTCAGCAAAACCACATGTCATCATAATTTGACTGAGCAGCTGAAACAGAGACGTCAGACGTGAAGAAAGGTTCAGAAGAGCTCGGTTCTCCTTTGAAGCACAGCTGGTTTTAATGCTGGTTGTCTCTATCATTGTCCAGCCTAATTTAGGTGAAACCACATCCATGTCCACATGATGAAAGCAGGCTGCCGGACATCAAGACCCATGGAGGAGACTGCTGCTAGCTAGCCCAACCTGCGGTCCCTGTTCCTCACTCACCACCAGTTAAAGACTACAAATCAAAAAGTTGCTTGGGTGTTGGAGGGTGGTTTGAGCTGGCAAGTTGCTACAGCCACTAAAAGTTAGTCTCCTGACTGCTACAGTAGCCTGAAAAATAGTGATAGTGGTAGTTAACAGGATTTTTTGTTTTTCATTTCAACCAGCCTCCAGATTGTGGGAAGTGTGTGCAGAGGAACGGCGTTTGGCTTTTGCCAGCGATGGGCAGGGAGCTCCTGGGGTTGGTAGCACAGGGGGAAGCCAGACACCTGGAGCACCCTTCTCATTTTCCAGCAAAAGTCAGCAAAGTCGGCCGGCAAAAGAGCAGGGTGCTTGTGGCACAAACATCTGCACACACTGCACACATTGCAGTAACAGAGCTGGTTGAAAACCAGCAACAGTGGTTTCAAAGTCACTGATGGACTCAAGCTCTGCCGTTTCACAGGGCGCCCAGCTATAAAATGCATCTTTGAGCCAGCACCTCACTTCCTGCCCTCTCAGTCACTGGGCCTGATGCCTGGCAGCCTGCTTTGTCATGTGTCCTCCATGTTTTCTCTCTAAGAGTGAGATGGGAAGACTGATACCAAAAGTGTGTGTGTGTGTGTGTGTGTGCGTGCGTGCGTGCTTGCGTGTGTGCGTGCGTGCGTGCGTGTGCGTTGTCATGGTTTGTACCTTTCTGCTGCTGCTCTTCACACATCATTACTTGGGAGTACACACATACACACTTCCTGTTGTTGTCTATGCAACCTCAATGTAGAGTTAACCATTTAAGCTCAATTGACACACATATACGCACAGACAAGGTGGGAGGGAGAGAAAGTAGGAAATAAAAAAGGAAGTAGGGAAGTAGGACAGGAGAAAGTTATGAAAACATGTGACCAACACCTAGACTCTATCTCTGTCTCTTCCAGGGAGGGAAACCGGACCTGAACACAGCCCTGCCAATCAGACAGACGGCGTCCATCTTTAAACAGCCCGTTACGAAGGTTACAAATCACCCTGGCAACAAGGTGAAGACAGACCTGCAGAGAGCGAGCGAGCAGCCTAGACAGGTGAGAAACTAACACACTCACACAGACACAGACTCATTGTGGTGTCACCATGGTAATGCCTGGGGGCGAGGTCAGGCTGTTACACAGCGCTGGAGTAAACCAGGTTGTCGTGGTGACATAAGCCACTAGAGGGTGCTGAGGTATCATGGGGAAAAAAGCAGCATGGAACACAGTGTACTCTGTACAGGGAATGAAAGATGATGTGACGACAGGCAGAAGCAGAGAAATTGCCAGAGAAAGAGGGATGAAAAGGAAAAAAATAAGAAGGAAGAATATGATAAATGAGGAGAGAGTAGAAAATGTAAAGGGGAAAGAGTAATCAAGAGATCAGAGAAAGAGGCAAAATAGAAAACAGAGAGAATCGTTAAACTCTCTATCATTCTTTTATTTGTTTTCTTTCATTATAGTCAAGTCTGTAGTGTAATAAAAGTATCTTATAAAATGCAGTATTGTATAGGTAGCAGTACTGTTACTTTTTAAAGAGTATCAGGTTTGTATCAGTATCAGAAACTTGTAGGAGTGTAAATCACCAGTTTCATCACGATATGAGTTCATATTGATTCTTTGGACGAAGATGAGATATTTGCCGATATCACAAAGTCTGCAACGATAGAATTTCAATTTGATGTGATTCAGGGACCTGCAATCAATATGAGACGATATTATATGCCCACACAATGTATTACAAAAGAGGCTGTCACCCCCTTTCTTTTTTGTTTTTGGCCATAAAAGATAAAAACAACACATAAATAATAAGTGCAGTGAAGTTTACTTTAAACTGCCTCCACTAACACACATGAAACAGCACATGGGATAAGTTAAACTTCAGGGCTTTCTGGTGGAAAGCACTTTCTGGAAGAAATCTTTTCATTTTAACCCAAACCATGATCTTTTGTATGAAACTTCAGGACTCTCAGGCTTAAAACACTGAAGGCAAACTTCTTTTAACAGCCATAAAATATGGTTTACCAACAAGATCATTTACCAAAGATATCAAAATCAGCTCATTAATAACTGTGAAGGTTCATCGACAAAACAATAGTTTTTTGCTAGTCACTCATAGCAGACTTAATAGCAGCTTAATAAATGATATGTAACATTATCATTTTTCTTACTCAACTATGGTTTAAAGTCACTGCATCTCTTGACAGAACAGCTGGTTGAATTTCAGCCTGATTGTACGTTTTTTTCAGTCGAACATTGTTGAAACAGAGCAGCTAATGTTGCTGTAGTTGATGATACTCTTCTAGTTGATGAAGATGCTTGTCCAAGCAGATACGTCATGTTTTTATCTTGTAACAACATTGTTTTCATATGGCAGTTGATTTGTCTGCTGACCGATATTTTTGTATAATTGAAAATATTTCCACTCTGCAAATTTTTTTCCCAAGTAAATAACATTATCCTCATTGTCTCTCTCCTGGCTGCCTGCCATCTGCTTGCTGCTTTTTGATGGTGATGCAGAATTTCAAAATTAAGGTGTAACCTACAGATGATGATATGATTGATGTTTTAACTTTGTCGTTTGCATTGATGATATTGGATTGTTTATTATTGAGTCGATATATAGATCCAGATTGATGGATCGCTGCGGAAAGCAGCCCAAGCTGACCAATCACAGATCTTGTTGTCCTCATGTAGTGTTTCCATAACCGCTGTCGCGGAAATGTATGCAGCTACACTGTAGCCTACTGAGTAACCCTGTTGTTCTCACCTCATATTTCCTGTAAAGATACTGTATTGTTGGGATACCTTTGTGACTCTTTTTCTGTAGGTCAGGATCAGCAGTAAAGTTTTGTGGTTGTATTTTATTCCATTGTTCATTAGGCTCGGGGGTGTCCTTTTTTTCATAACTTCATAAATTCCTGAAATTTCACAGGGGCATATAGTAAAAGACGGCATTTGTGTGCAGCACGATACCATACGATACAATACATCCTCATTACAGCCTCTCCAGTATGAGGTTAATGGAAAAATAAGCATCTGTACTTATGTACAGTATTGAAAATCATAAATACCCTGGTATACTGTAATGCTGTGATACCACCCAAGTCTAAGATTCATCCTTGCGATACTTAAAACTGATCCACAAAAAACACTTTCTGTGGCTGCTTCACAGTATACCCAGTGGTTGCCATCGGAAAGCTCTTAATAGTTTGGTTGGCATCAACAGCATCCCAGCACAACAGCAGAGTCCAGCTCGGGCAAGAAGCTGATCAGAAAACAATGAGACTGAAGGAAGGAAGGAAACTTAACTGAAACTACCGGGATCCTACAGTCCACAGCAAATATTCAAATCTGTCTGCTATCTATCTGTCTGTCTGTCTGTCTGCAGTTGTTTTGGGAGAGAAGATTGAAAGGTCTGCGGTCATCAGATGTCACAGAGGAAGTCCTGCGGACCATGGACCTGCCCAAAGGCCTGCAGAGTGAGTCTCCATATCATAAGCCTGAACTCCCACCATGCTTCAGTTGAAACCTCTGACCTCTCTCTCTCTCTCTGTCTTTTCAGGTGTCGGTCCAGACTCCAGTGATGACACTCTGCTGTCTGCCATCGCCAGCGCTCTGCAAATGAGCTCTTCTCCGATAACAGGACAGACATCTGTGGCTGCCGAGAAGAATCCTGCCATCTGGCTCAACACGTCCCAGCCGCTGTGCAAGGCCTTCACTGTTACTGATGAACACATCCGGTGAGAGACACAGTCAGACAGGCAAAGATACCATACAAGGTTAAAAAAAAAGACAAGTACATGCTGGTTAATTAAAAACAACAGGAAGTCTCACAAATCAACACACACAGCTCATGGGGCCATTAAGGTACTTTAAAACCCTTAGTGTCTGATTGCCCCAATTTGACTCAAAACATACACTCTCTCAAGATTACAAGTAGGTCAAATATAAACACATGGACATGATACACACAGTTTTTTAGATTCATGATACAGGCACTTTCTGAGGATATCTTTGATAGATTTTGCGAATAAAACAAATTTACCTGCAGAACTTGCCTGATAATCATCATCAAGTTTTCTTCACTACCAAAGTAATCCAGTGATAACAGTCTGTTTATCTGTGGATACATTGCAAACTGGAACTTCTAATATCTAATTTTGCTTACTTTTAATGCTGCTAATTGGATGACAACGGAGACTCTCAGGAATGTGTACTTATACCAGCTGATGTAGCTCCAGTTGCTGCCCCTTTACACTCTTTGGCTATTCTACAGCTCTGGACCAAAGAATTAGTAATCATTATTACTGTATTTCAACAGCCCTATCATTATAGCCCCTATTTTTTTGTTACCACTACTGCTATTACAAGAAAGCTTACATTCATGTCAGGCTCTCATTTAATGAACAGCATCTTGAGTTTTGACATTCTTTTTTTTTTCTTTTTTTTTTTTTTATAGAAACCTTTTTTTTTTGGTACATGATAGAAGAGGCTGGTGACTTATTCAGCAATAATTCTATGTTTCCTACTTGACATTCATACTGTCAACCTTGAAGCCTTGCAATGTGTATTATGATTTGGGGGAATATTTATCCTGATACATTCCATCATGTTGCATCACATGTCTTCTAAAAACTTATTGTTAACCTGTTTAAGTGAGACTAGTATGTAACTTTTGAAAAAAGAAAGAACGCAGTCTTTTTTGATTCAATTGCTCCCCAATCCATAATTGGTATGATATAACCAGTAACTTATTGTGGCTTATATTAGCAAACTTGGGATAGATATTGCTTTGTAACTGACATTACTGAGTCAATACTGTTACACCATTACCCTTTCCCCAACAAAATTAGTACATGTATGTGGGTTTTTAAATGTGAGGTAACCTGTTAAAAATTGAGCAAAGTGTTAGTTCAGACAAGACATGATGTCAAGCTCAGCTCACTTCCCAGCTACATCAGCTGATCTCAAACAGCCCAATCAACTGATGGATCAGCTGATTGATGGAAGGGAGTCAGCTGATAGATCACATGATTCATGATTCTTTTCTATGCAACCAATTGGCAAATCTCGTTCAGGATGTCCTATTAAAACTGCTCTGGCCTGCCTACTGCAAACCACTTGCAACCCACTTCCACCCCAGCTCTTCCTTTTCATGCTGTGTCTGAGTTATAAATGTCAATGATACCTACTCTGTTCTCTTCCTGGGATCTTTGCTGCTGCTCCCCCTGTCTTAGGTTTTATATGCAGGGGCATGGAAGGGCAGGGAAGATTGCTCTCTCTGCCTCAGGCTTTCCTAATATATGCATGGAAGGGCAGAGAGGTGTACTTTCTCTGCTTTAGGCTTTCTGCATAGGCCCTAGAAAAGGCAGAGAGGCCCTAGAATAGAGCCATACCGCTAAATATAGTACTGCAAATGGAAACAAAGCTTTCTTTGACTAAAGTGGTCCTGACTGAAATAGGCAATAGACTGCCTTCCTACTGCCAGTAGACCAGAGCAGTGTACATAGCTGCACAGTAGATGAGTATGCCTTTCTGTTTTTGTTTGTGTATGGTGTGTCACGTTCAACGTCATAAACAGGCTTGAAAACAGGTTAGTAAACAGTAGAAGGCAGAATGGGGGCCTGTGAAAATGTTACGGTAGTTACTTCATACTCTTGTCTTGCTTATTCAGTTTCGCTCTCAAACTTGGTGCGGACTGCATTTTGAATAAAGTTCAAGCGCTGCTTGGATGGAGACGGACCATATTTTGGTGCGGCCCGTCATTGTATTGTGCTGGCAAGGGGGCCAAAATTAGTGTGTCCATCTGGGTGCCGTATTGTCATCACTGCTGATTGGAGCCAATATGAGCTGGAGCCAACACTGCAGAGTCAGTAAATACTGATTGCAACCTTTCCTGTTAAATACAAAAGCAGGCATTATTGGGTTTCTTTGTCCAGTGGGAAAGGGCTTGAGTCATCATTGAGTGAGTGCTACTGTTATACTATAACCCTTTTTCCAACAAATGTAGCACATTGCCAGCAAACCAGAGCCATGTATACAGCTCTGCAGTAGATAACGATGCCATCTTGTTTTTTATTTTTCCTTTTTTTCTGGTGTGTCTGGTGTGATGTCACGGACGGGCCAGAAAATAGGTAAGTAAACAGTAGAAATCCACATGGAGGCCAGTGAAAATGTAACAGTGGTTACGACTTTTATATATCTCTTACTAAATCAGTCTCTATCTCTCAAACTCAGTGCCAACTAAATTTTGAATGATATTCAATCGCTGCTTGGATGGCGATGGACAGATATTTGTTGTGACCCATCGTTGCGTCATGTGGCCAAAGGGGCTAAAGTAGCACATCCAACTGGGTGTAGTATTTCCATCACTGCTGATCAGAGTTGATCAGAGCTGGAACCAATAAATACCTGTGACTACTGCAGAGTAATTTGTACCAGGAGTGAATGCTGGTCATAATCTTGCCCATTACATACAAAAGCCAGATGTTAGCGAGTGTTACTTTTTTTTGTTTTGTTTTGTTTTTTTTAGTCCAGTGAGAAAGGGGCTTATGTTTTAGCAAACATGTCCTGTAACAATTTAGTGTTTAATATTGTGTTATATTCCATTTTCTTACACACAGACATGTGTATACAGTACAGGCCAAAAGTTTGGACACACCTTCTCATTCAATGCGTTTTCTTTATTTTCATGACTATTTACATTGTAGATTCTCACTGAAGGCATCAAAACTATGAATGAACACATGTGGAGTTATGTACTTAACAAAAAAAGGTGAAATAACTGAAAACATGTTTTATATTCTAGTTTCTTCAAAATAGCCACCCTTTGCTCTGATTACTGCTTTGCACACTCTTGGCATTCTCTCCATGAGCTTCAAGAGGTAGTCACCTGAAATGGTTT